AATGGGGGTCTGCTCTCTGTGTGCAGGTGTCCGTGGAGGGATGAGAGAGAGACTACGGATAGGTAGGTAGCATCTGTCTGATGAGATGGTATGCGACAACTAGTTGACAAGGGCAGACGCCTCCAGGCTCCGAGAAGGAGGAGGAGGATGAGTAGGGATGATGGATCGGGGGTGTTGAGTGAAGAGATGGGAGAATAGAGATCTGAGCTTTGGCAGGGGTCGTCGAGTTTAGCTGCATGGATGGGACGGGAACGGCGACAAAGATGTTGGTCAGAGGCGTAGTGTATGAAGAGTCTCCGTAGTGTAAGGAACGGAGTAGCGTAAACGGATAGAAAAAGGCAGTCAAGCTACAGACGAGCAGGGGATGTCGTTGTCCAAGACTGGAAGAGGGTGGGCACCCTTGCCGGACGGTTCCCGACTCTTTCAGGATGGCAGGTAACGAAGTTGAGTCGAACAGGGCGGCTCGGGTAACGTCAGTGTGGTGTCTCTGGTCTCTGTGGCAGGTGTCGACCACACAAGTATTGGTAGGGGTTAAAGATGCGAGGCAAAGAAAAAGGTTGTTGGCACCAGACACGACAGTAAGAGACTACGCAGTAAGGTAAGAGTAAGGTATGGTAAGGGTAAGGATAAGGTAGTTGGAAGGAACCCCCCCGGTCCGGTGGTGGCTTGTGCCGTCGCGAGGTCTGGGAAGGTCTGATGCGGCTCCTGTCGTCGCAGAATGGGGTCATGGAGTCTCCACCTAGCCCCGGCGCGGCTTAGCGAGCCAATAGCGGGGCGTGCTGTCCGGCACATCAGGCAAATGGCGTTTCGCCCGAGGCGTCGATGAAGCGAAACGAGACACTGGACGACATTTTTGTGTCCTTGCCGTCTCTTAAGCGCGGCACTTTACGGAGCGCCTCGTCGCCGTACTCGACCAACGTATTGTCACCGTTCAAGATGCCGACCGCACTGAGGTGAGCTTGTGAAGCGCCTTCTTTCCACAACCACCCGCAAATGCTCGCTCGCTGGCTCTCTGAGCGAAGCCTCCTCCGTCCTAATTTCCCTGGAGCACTGGCAAAACTGGCAGTTCGCTCCTCGATGCCTGCACCGTCGCACGTCAAGTTGCGCTCATCAGCTGGCAAATTTGTGACCGTTAGGCCAATGTCCGTCAGGACAAGCATCTATTCATCCGTATTCCCCCTACGGACCGTTGATACCTAGGTAGTGGACCAATATGTGAGAGCCGCACCCTGTCGAGACAAATGGCACACTGGACTGCGGATGCGTATGCAACTGATTTTGGCTCTTGAGCCATGAGTCGTCATGGGTTTAGCTCCTCATGCTAAGCCTTTGAGGATCGGCCATGATTTGCCTCCGGACGCTGGCTTTCCTGAGAGGCCTGGCACGCCTGTATTAACGCCAAGACTGTGCCACGCAGAGGCAAAGCTGTTGCTGTTTGCTGACAGCGCGCACACATCATCATGTTCGCGATGGGGGTTCTCTTGATTGACGTTACCGCTTGAAGATCCCCCGAGCCGCGCTATGTTTCTTTTCCACGGTGCTTCAGCGGATACCAGCGACACGACAACGGTCTCAAGCTTGGCCGGGAGAAAGCGGCAATGTGGATGATTGGCGACGGACCGTTTAGACGGGTGAGACATGCCGTGCTAGTGCGACCGCCGGCCAGCAAAACCAGAACATTAACATTGACATTGACCTCGACCGTCGGTTCTGGCGGTTCTTTCTATCAGTCAGTTCGTGTCTGCAACTTTGCATTAGGATGGAAGCGCCCGTCTAATTCCGGTGGGCGAAATGCAACGCATCAACTCCACTGCATTTTGTTCCACTTCAAAGCTTGCCCTTATGGAATCCGTCCCGCAGATAAGGGTGGGATAGTGTATCGTGTGCCTCGTCTGCATCGCGAGCGAATGCCTCGTATCATGTATGTGCTTGGCCAGAGGTGCACGGAGGCTTTTCGGCGGAAGGACGGCGGAGCCTATCTAGAAACCTAGTGGACTTCTCTGCCGTTTTGCAGAATGTGGAAGCAAACGAGAAGCACCTCGTATACGGAGTACCTAAGGTATGTACGTTGGCGTTGCTGGTCGGAATGTGGAGTTGGCGAAGCGAGCGGAAAACCAAGGTCAGCAGCGGGCGCGCAGTAATGATGGCATCAAACATCCAATAAACTTAATCTGTTATTCGGCAAGTTCGGATGACGGCAAGGGCCCCTGGGATGACCAGTCACGGTACCGTCGATTGTCGGTTTGAGAAAAGAGGGCGAGAAGCAAAGGGGTTTCCAGGGTGAGTGGGTGAGGGAAAGAGAGAGAAAGAAAAAAACTTGACTTGTCGGTGTGGTCCACCGTACCTTACTGTGGTTGGAGCGTCGGGGATGATCTTCCTCCCGTCAAACGATGAGTGCCAAGGAAACCCATGAAGTTGCCCAAGAAGGAGTTGAGTAGCATTCGTGCCTCCCGTCATCTCGCATAGTAAGGTAGGTGCGGGTAAGGTATTGCAAGACAATGGAAGGTGCGCAAAGGAATCAAGAAAGACACTGCTCCGTACCTACGGAACCGTGGGATTGGAAAGTGATCTGTCTTCTTTCCCCTGGTGCCTTATCTTCTATTGTCAAAACGGAGGCCGTAACTTACCTTATCTCTACGTACCTAAGGTATCGTTCCTGACACTTTCAATCGCAACTGGAAGGAAAGCGTGGTGAGGTGAGAGGAGGGCACCTTCCACGTCCCAGCAGGAGTGCCAAGCGCCGTTTACACTCGGTACCTGCAGCGGCCCAAGACCCGTGGAGATCCCCGGCTCCACTTGGGTCGCCGAAACGGGAAAGGTTGATTATCTCATCCCCTCTTACCACGTTTAAGGTTGTCCTTAGCATCCCGCCCGCCAGAAACCCGCCCCACCACCGCAGCCCTGGAAGAATTGCAAGGGGAAGGGGTGTCCCTTGTCAACGGTGGTGCTTCACCTCGAGTCTTTTCCCCCTCCCCCTTCTTCTCTCCCATGTCATTGTCCACCGAATCCTTGGATATCTGCCACCCCAACCGTCAACGACGACACCAACCTACCTCATACCACCTGGCACCGAGTTCACCCCTTTCCCCCCCTTGTCCCCCTCGCGCGTTGGACAACCGGTCAGTCCTGCATCAGCCATCCGAGCAAAAGGTTAATCTGATCTTCCTCATGGCCAACCCTAGTGCGTGAGATGCTTATCCATGAGATGACGGTTTCGATTTTCATCTCGTCTACTATTTTCTGCTGTCAACCCAAGTGCTCGAGTCGAGAACTTTCCTTTCTGGGCTGCCAATTGTCGGACATTTTGCAAACGACGCTGAGTTTAATGCTATTGATCGTCCACGCCTAAAATTGCCCTACGACGTTTTGCTCACTGCACTGACAGATCCGCCATTGTCACCGTTGGAAACATATGCTCGGTCTTGATCCCGCCATTCAAATTTCTACTTTTACCTACGGATCCCACTGATACCACATCGTGTGGATGACTGTGCCGGTTCTTTTGATGGGTACGGCCTGTCTTCTCGCCGATTGACACTCGAATGCGGCACCCACGGCCCACGGCACCACATGACGATGCCTTCGCGGCCTCGCCTGCGCCTGGTAGCGAACGGCACGGCTCTACGGCTTGATGCTTGAAGCTGCATCGCAAAAGATCACCTGGCGAAACCTCGCATTTCCACAGACGCACCCAAATGACCGGCACCACAGCCGACGCCTCCCCCATATTCGTCTCATCCCTTCCGAGATCCCGTAAACGAGCAGATTGTTTCCCCCCTGAGATGCCATCCAATTCCAACATCAATTAAAGGGCTTGTCATCAATCTTTCCATCATCTGGATCCGAGCCACCGGGGTTGCTTGCGGTGGACTCGTGGAGTGAGAGTGCTAGTGTGGACAGCGCCCCTGTCGCGAACCTCCACTTGCGCCAAGGAGGCGCACCATCCTGCGACACGAGGCTGAGTTTGAAGCCTGTGCCAAAAATCCAATGGTGAAACAGGTTCACCTCAACTTCCGTCCATTTGTCACTCAAGCCAACCGGCGCAACCTCGTCTTCACCTTCAACACGCAGGCATTCTCCTCGGATCCGGCATGCAGGGCTGTCTTTCATCCCAGCTCGGGAAGACGAGTTGAAACCCATCGACTGTCACAGAGGCAAACGCCTTGCACTATCTATCGTCGCTCATTGCCTGCACCACGGCGACCACGCTCGCTCACGGTCCCAGTCAACCAGCTCGGTTGAACCGTCATCGCAAACTTGAGATGCAGAACCCGTGCCAATCCCGTTGCGTCCACTCCCATGCACACAGGATGCGCTTCCTCCGGCATCCAATCTCCTTGGACGTATTGCTCGCCCAGCTGCTCCCGGACCCCCGGCAAGGGCTGTCATCGAACTTCACTTGTCAGACGTCACCTATCATCCCAATTGCTGTCCTCTGCCGTCACGGCTAGACCTCCAACCCGTTCTTAGTCTGATTCCAAATTCCCCACCGCGAGAAGGGAAATGTGTTCAAGTCACGCCACTTTCTCGTAGCTAGGCAACGTTTGCCGACTACGCCTCTGGGAAACAGCTCTTCCATGTGAATCAAACTGGGCCGCCTCAGCCATTGCAGACACACTCTTTGCTGACGAAGGCCCGGCCAAGGATCTGTCGCGACCAGTGTGATCAACATGATTCCGAGCTCTTTAACCTACTGCGTATGGCAAATTGGCAAGTCTGTGAGCTGCCGCGTGGCAGCTGTCACGATCTTTAGCACTACTACGCAGATGAGCCCAAAATGAGCCTCGTTTCGTCATTGGACATGGCATTATACTAGCCCAGTTTCCAGAGATGTTTACTGCTAGGTTTTAGGTCTCGAAATCAAATACACACAGAGGACCCCGGCAAAGCCAAGCTTTCACTGCATCAAAACACGTTTTGCTGTGTGATAAACGAGGTTCTTCTACAGAAAGTCGCGCGGAGCAAACAGCGCAACTTGCTTGGCGTCTCATCTCAAAATCTTACAAGTCTTCCATGACAGGTTCGGCCGCCTTCGCCTGGTCTTGGTATGCCGCGGCGATGAGGTCCAGCCAAGCAGCCATTCTCACACCCGCGCGGGCGACCTGAAGCTCAATTACAGGTGCCGCTTTTTGGAAGTACTCGCCGCTAAGCTCTTGGCCGACAATAGCTCGCGGCCCCTCAGGAAATACTAATACAAGAGTCAGTTTTGACGTCGCCCTTCCGGTTTGTGGGGGGTCATCGATGACTCGGGAATCAACATACCGTGGGTGCACACGAAAGCGTTTCCCTCTCTCGCCCACTCCAGGCCGGTAGCGTTGACGTTGTTGAAATCCAGACTCTTGAGCCACTCTGCCTTTTGCGCAGCAAACTTTCCAGTCTTGACCTCGTCAGCAAGCTCATCCGCCCATTTCTTCGCGTTGTCGTAGGGCCTCCGACGAGAACCTCCTATCAGCTTTTCGGCAATGGAGCTGTCCCAGACGTGGTGCAGGTTGTAATCGGAGCCCTGCCATTTGACGTGAATGCCATTACCTCCCCGAGCCACATCTTCGTTGTGGAGAGGCTGGTGCATGTCGCCGATGAAGTGCACGACAAACCTCGCCGCCTGGTTGCGTTCCCACCCGCTCAGCTTGGGATCCAGAGACCGAGCAGTGTAGTTTGCGAGAGCCGTCACGACGCAGCCTTGATCTTTGCAGTCCCGCTCGAGGTCGACGCCGCAGTAGTCGGGCGGACTATCTTTGGCATCGATGAAGTGAAAGGGCCCGGTGAAGTGTCCCCAGCGCGTGTACCGGATCGTGTCGGCCCAGGTGGCGACGCCGGCAAGGTAGTGCTCGGAGTCATTACGCAGGAGGTCCTGGAAGAAGACTTCGGTTGTGTTGGCGACAAAGTGGCTGGCTAGGTACGCAGTCGCAATATGACCCAGACCTGGTAGGTCAAGTCGGTCAGCAAGGGAGCTCGGGGCACTTTACAGCTCGAGGCCATTTTGAAGCTATCGTGGATGTTGGGAATTGATGACATACTTCCCCATGCAGCAACCCCGTGCAGTGATGCACCGAGCAGTGCGACGGTGCCCAAAAGCCTCATGATGGCTTGCGATTCTTATTGGCGAGTAAGTAGGTATGCACTGAGGTGCGATCAGGCTTCACTGTTTTGGAACTATAATTTGGGTCCGTCAAATTGACTGGATAACGACAAGCAAGACAGGGACAGGATGGACGCGCGATTATATGGGAGCTTGACGCGTGGTCGGGTCACCGGTCTTGGGGACGGGAGCGATGCACGCCAGCTCACGTTACCTTCCAGGTTAACGTCAATACGGATGACTGGCGCTGAGCGGGCCGCTGGTGTGGGTGCCCGGCAGAGGTGAGTTGGCCGAGGAACGCCTGCGCCGGGGTGCTCGTCCGTGACCATCCACACCCGGTGCCGCCTCAGCCACGGAGGGCGAATCATGGCGGTGCACGGGGGGAACCACGTGAAACACCACTTGGGAGGGGAATGCTGACGATCGGCGGATGTCCGGTGACCGCTGGAATGCGGTATCTCAGCCTATCGATCGTGCGGTGCGCCTCTGCTCCTGTGATTGGAGACAATTTTTTATTTAGACTTTTGGTTGATGGCTTTCGCTGCATGCATTCGGGCATGTTATCTAGACCATGCGTGCAGTTCATCTCGATATTGGTGCAGGTGCAAATGCGCAGAAGCATCTTGGAAGAATTACATAAGCCCACGTTGTCAGCTACAGTGACAGCTCCAGCAGCACTCAGCTCACGTTAGTCATACTGCGTAAAATACCGGTAGTGCGAGATGACCAAATCAGGCCTCTTCATTGGCGCAAGTCTCTCAGCTCGACATTTTCTCCGTCATTGGGCCCCTCCGAAAATAGGACCTTTACGGTGGTCAACGCTCAACCCGCTCTGCCCGCCAAAATCTTTCCAAGTTTTCCTGGAGTGACCCTTGCTGGATGCTCAACATGCCCCCACTAATTGCCCTCTTCGTCAACCCGCACTTTTACGTCGCCAAGGCCGTTCTTGGTCTTTTGGTTATGTCATGCGGCGGCAGGGGTCTCTTATCGAATGCGGTCAGCGATAAGAAAAGCGATAACGGGGGAAAAGCAGAATGCTGCACTCGGATTGGACAAGATGTGGGCGCTATCAGTCCCCTCTACCTGTGCCGCACCAACAATGTCTTGTCTGCGTGACTCTCCATCGAGAAAACCATCCCACTTGACCCCATTCCAAAGCCCACCTGACCGAGGAACGGCACACGAGAGAAGAGCTTCCCCCAAAACCTGTCTGTCGCTGCGGCTCTTCTTACCCGTTCTTTTCACCCTTCACGTTCGTTGTTGTGAGCTTCACCAAAGTCCCATATCGAAATCACACACACAATGGCTTCCGTTGCGGTTACGGCCTTTGCCGCCTTATCGTCCACTCCAAAAGTCGAAGAGGCCCTGTCGGGAATCTTTGGCAGCATCAGCTTGACCGCGTGGATATGTCTCCTCGTACGTCCCTCTCTCTGTTCGCGAAGGTCACGCGACCTCGGATCACGACTTTTCTTGCCTGCTTTTTCTGTCCAAGTAGACTGACCATGCTTATCTACGCAAAATAGCTTCCCCAGCTGCTCACAAACTACAAGTCGCAAAGCGCTGATGGCTTGTCCATGGGCTTTCTGATCATTTGGTTGATTGGCGACGTGACGAATCTCATGGGTACGCAGAAAACCATCTTCCCGGCTCCTCACTCTTTTTTCCTGGCGCATTTGCCAATGTTCCATGTTATCTGCGCCTTGCGAGTTTTCTCCCACACCGCTACCGTTCTCTAAGAAGAAAAAAATGCGTCTCTTGTCATACCGAAAATTTCTCCAACCAACACCAACACCAACACTACCAACGCCAAAAATTTTTTTAACTTTTTGGCGCGTGCTCCTACTAACAAAAATGCTTCAGGCGCTCTCTTCACCCACCTCGCTCCAACGGCCGTCGCGCTCGCAAGCTACTTCTGCTTCGCCGACCTCGTCCTAATCACCCAATGCGTCTATTACAACACCAAGAACGCCCGCCGCGCATCGTCCCGCCGCCGCTCCTCCGCGCCCGTGACCGCCACCGGCGCAAACCCGACCGAAGCACGGGAAGATGAACCCCTTCTTGCGGCCCCCCGCCGCCGCAGCTCTTCTGCGGCAGCTGGCCTCCCCGGCTCGCAGCGCCGTCACGCTCACCACGAGGAGAGCTCGCTCGACCCCCTGCGCAAGATGGTCACGGGCGAGGACGACACGCCCGACAGCAACCCGTGGCTCCACAACACGCTGAGCATTCTCGCGGTATACCTCGTCGGCGCGGCGGGCTGGTTCCTCTCCTACAAGGCCGGCGCGTGGGACGCCCCCGACAGCGGCGACAACACCGGTGCGGGTGCGGGTTCCCCCGCGGCGGCGGACGGCACCTGGGAGAAGATTGGTCTGGCGCTGGGCTACTTCAGCGCCGTGTGCTACCTCTGCGCGCGCATCCCGCAGATCATCAAGAATTACAGGGAGAAGTCGTGCGAGGGGCTCGCGCTGCTGTTTTTCCTGCTTTCGCTTACGGGGAATCTGACGTACGGCGCGAGTCTTGTTGCGTTTAAGCAGGACCGGGCGTATTTGCTCAACGCGCTGCCGTGGTTGTTGGGGTCGCTAGGCACGATGGTGGAGGATTTTGTGATTTTTGGGCAGTTTCATCTGTATGCCCCCAAGCGGGAGGGGAAGAGGGATGATGTGGCGTAAGTTAAGCATTGCGCGTAGTCGCTGTCTGCATTGAGGTGGGTTACGGGTGTGTGTGTCCTTTTGGCATCTTCATGAAGGGATACGACGCGTGTGGGGATTGCATGTTGACGAGGTGTGGACTAGACGCATCTGAGGTGATGGTTTTGTGAGGTGATTGCTGCATTGGGAGAACTTAAGGGAACTGTATCATTACGGTTTGTGATTCTTGAGGGCATTGGTCTGATGAGCATTGTTCCCATGGCGTTCATAAGAGGGTTTGCGGGTACATTAAGGATTTGCATGGTACGCGGGTTTGATTGTTTTTATCTCCAACCCATTTGTTTACCATCATGAAGGCACATATAATGATAGCTTTTTGCCTTTTTAACAGTATTGAAAGTATTGACATTCTACGTACCTTTTGCTAAAGAGATTCTATGATTGTGATTGCTGCGCAAAGGTTATGAGAAGGGAATTCTTGAAGCCGATGATATCCGACTCAAGGACCTTGAGACTATTGATGGAGTGGCTTGTGAGGCTGGTGTTGAAAAAGAGTGAACGTGACTTACATCTAAAGTAAGATTCCATTTTCTGATGACGAAATTCGTACGTAAATTTATGGTGGAGGATATTGATGGGTTACGTAAGGATGATAAGGGAGGTGAAGGCATGAATGAATAACTGGATTGAGGCTCTACTTTGTTGGCGGTATGGGATTCAACGAGGAAGTGGGAGTGGGGGAAAAATAGAAGAAGGGAAAAGGCGGTGCGAGATTGAGAGGTGTAAGATAGTCTGCGGCGGTCATCCTTGGAGGGCTCGTGCTCGGGGTGCCGGAGTGACCGATGATGGTGGACGGTGCTCGGAGCGGAGTTTCTATACGGGATGACGCGAAGCCAGGGGCCGGAAGCCTGAGCTGGGGGCTGGAATCGGTATCGCAATGAGTATCGCAATGAAGGACGGGCGATGGGGATGGGGATCAGGGATCGGGAACGCTTCAATGATGTTGGACGTGCTGTCTATGGCTGGGTACGGGTGCATGTTGACATTGGTGGAGCTTTTATGAGTGATTCGGTGAGTGATCATGGTTGAGGTGGTATAAGTAGAGTTCCACGATAGTTGAGAACGGTGATGAGGATACTCGGGCAACGAAAGATATTTGATTCGTTGGAGCAGTATTTGGGATCCTTGAAAATTGAAGATTTGCTGGAAATGTTTCACAACAACGGAGTTTTTTTGACATTTATATTTAGTCTATGAAATAAGTTTTGTGAATTGGCTTCACGGAAACATTCAACAAAAATGCTCTGAGCAATCGTAAAAAAAGTTAGAAAGCTCTGCTACGTACTTCAACAGCCTCGACCCCATCCCCCAACAGCCCATAGATATATCTTTCGATATAGTGTTCGAGAATATTTCTATAAAAACATACGAGCCGATTAAAATTCTCACAACGCAGGCAAGTCTTCTCGAGTTCGTCCTCTGCCTCCTATGACCCAGGGCGGCAAGTGACGGAGCAACGGGTAGTAAGGAAGAGGTGGAAGAGGGCGCTACTGTTTGGAATCCTCAAGTCACCACCCAAACTTATTGCCGCCCGGCTCGGTGACTTCCCATCTCCTTAATGGGGGCTCTGAATACGCGTTTGGGGATGACGGCTGGGGCCTTTTACTCTATTTGATATCCTCCGTGTGTAGAAGCGTTGTCGGTTGCACTTAAAATGACCGCCGGAGTTATGGGCACTTTAAAGGTCAAGAAGCATATGATGCTGGCTTGAATAGCATGGAAGTGTGGGAGCAGGGGAGCCTGCTAATATAGTTTGGTTAGCTAGCAGCCCCTTGAGCGCCTAGCCTACCTTACTTTGTAGGTTTGCTTGTGAATGCCTCTGTCTCTGTGGCATAGACAGAAATCAAATATGTCTCCTCGTGCGCCAAGATTGGGTGAGAATGCGCTTCCGCATTCCTCATATATCGGGGCTGGAGTGTTCCCTGAACCAGGTCAAGCATCAGTCTTTGGCTGCCGTTCGAGGCAAGACTGTGTTTCTTTTCTTGAAGGTATGTTTTACGAAGATTGTGTACATGCTATCACGAATTACGAGGGAAAGTGGTTGAATCTAAGTCCTTGAGGAGGTAAAGTGAGTGGCGAGAACGCACATGAGCCTATTTTTGGATCAGGAAATAAAACGAATGAACATTCCGGGCAATGGCTAGTACAAAGCTGTATTGTACTACGATTCCTACTAGAAGACAAAGATATTTCGCTGATCAGTCTCACAACGCTGTATCGAGTTCATCAGCCCTCCAAATACATCTCCTGCACACTCCCAGACTCATGGTACACTGTCGGACCCCTCGACGAGTCATTCTCGGCCGTCTGAATATGCACCATCCACTCGTCACTTTCAGGTGACCCATACGCCCCCAAATCATGCCACGAGTGAAGCATCACAGTACCATGCGAAGCAATAATTGTGTAATCCATCGCGCAACGCTGACAGTGGCCAATCGACTCATATCCATGCCCGTCGACCGCCACGCGGATGCCGTCCATGACATCCGAGGACGCCATGTATCGACTGAGATATCGGGTGTGGCCCCAGCCCAGCCACTGGTTGATATTGACGCCGTCGTCGTCGAATATAACCTGGCTATTGGGTTCCAGCAAGATCATCAGGTGCGGACAGACGCGCCTGGAGCAGGTCATCCGAAGCAACAAGAAACTGGCCTCGGGGTCATCGCGTACCTCGTGCTCCACGTGGATCAGGAACCTGCCGTCGACAATCTTGGGCGTGACGGCGTACGCGCTCGCGGTGGATGTGAGGCTTGTAGGGACGTTTGCTCGCGATGCGAACGGCGCCATGATGTTCTGGAGGAGTCGTTGCTGGTTCTTGTCTAGTCCTCCGCCGTTGCCCATACGAGTCAATTTAAGTGCGAGCTGCACGTGCGCATGCCGGAGTTTGTATTGCCTCTGACTGAAAACGTGGCGGGAATTTTGCTGACAGGAAAAGGGATTATAGTTCTTGTCTCCGGGGATGTCTTGCGTACAAATCCTATGGAGATGGCAGCAGGGGCTGCAGACCCAGTGATTCGGCTTGGTGTAGGCGAGGCCCGTCCAGAAGGCGAGTTTGTGGTTGCGGGGGAGCAGGACGAGGGCGAGGATCCAGTCTCTATGTGTGAGAGCGCGGAGGTCTTTGCAGGTGTGGGAGAGGGCGAATTCGTCGTGTAGTTGGAGCAAAGCGAGTATTTGGTAGAGGATTTCATTTGGGAGGCACTGGATCGGTGAGGCGTTGTCTGGAGAAGACGGCTTTGTTGTTTCCGTTGGGAATCGTTGGAAGAGATGGTGGTTGTGGTGGACGAGGAGCCGTCTGAGACGATCCATCTTGCTTTGATAGAATTGTGTAAATTATAGCTGGCTGATGGGGTGACTGAGACGGTGAATGTTGAAGTCGAGAGAGCTGCGAGGATAAAGTGATATCGCCAAAAGTATCGAAGTCTGAATCTCGTTGACCGAAGCGACCGAGTGACGAGGAAGATCAAGTCACATTATGTTAATTTACTACGGATGTAAGACTTCTTCTTCACGCGACTATTCAGGCCGTCGCCAATACCTGGAAGGACGGTTTGTTAGAGATTTGGGTCCTCGGAGTACCCTTTTGTCTGGAGTCCATCAGTTGAGACTCGGACCACGAAGCTTTGGGAAAAAAACCTCCGAGCTCATCATATCCTCTGACTAACCCATCATCATCGCCTCTTCCTTTGTTTCGAGGACTCAGGTTGGAACGGTGGTAGAAGCAAGGATTTCTAGCTTCAGCGTCGAGGAATGCCTACAGGAAACATCTGGAGTCGTAAAGCTAATGGCGACGAAAAAACTAACAGATGAGTCCTATCAAGTTGCTGTCTCTCTCTTCCGTCTTAGTGTACGAGCCGTAGCATCCAGCCTCTAGACAGCGAGGTTCTGCTCATACGATGCATCTGTCTTGACCTCTCTGAAGTGGCTCTAAATCGTACTCCCATGTTCAACTTTGGCGATGGAGGATAACCATTAAGCTTAATCCGTCTAATCCTCCAAAGCCCGCCTCAAGTCAAAGAGACGAGCTTTCTGATATCACTAAGGGCGTCACGGGATACCTTGCGCTGGACAGGAATTGATACTATCTGAAGACTTCCATGATATCTTCGGATCATTCTATCCCGAGAGAAAGAGGAAGCCTACTCCGGCCGCTCTCCTGGAGCTATCCGGGCGGGGACTTGCAGGTTACATCACAGCATTGCAGACCCATGTCAAATCGAAATCCACGTTCCACGCAAACCAGCATCGTCGGCCCAAAGGAAACCTACCCACATCCCTTTTGTGTACAAATTCGTATGGAGAGGTATTGCGGGGTACACAAGCAGAACTTGGGGAACCCCACGACTGACGTGAAGTTCGGTCCTCAATCTGGTAAAGTGCTGGCCAGGGGTACGCGCAGGTATTTCGCTTCTGGATCGGTGCCTGGGTTGTGACGTTGTTGATTGGTGTCACCCGCGGCAACCTATACCGAAGATGGGCTCAATTGAGTGTGACTCCCCGCAAAGAGATATGACGGTAGCCGAAGCTCAGCTGTCAAAGGATTAGGGATACAATCAAAATATTCCACCAAGGCTTCTTTTTGGGTGAAGATGATCTCTCCCAGAACATTGAGCATAAAATTTAAGACGCTTGACATGTCTCGTGTCATCGGAACTTGGCAAGATCGCATCACTCCCTTCTGCACCGTTGCAGTCAGAACGGCAAACTCAAGTCCAGCATGTTGATATCACGACCGTCCATTCGAGCCCTCGCGGCAACAACTCTCCTTGCAAATTACTGTTCTGCTGAATGCTGGCGAAACTCGACCTGCAACGGACCAGGCTCTGCCTCTTTTCCAGGAGTCTGGGACCAGTACAATTATGCTCCCACTTCTCGGAACGTAACACCAAAGTACATCTTATCCTCACCATCCGGAGCGAATATCTCCAACTTTAACGCACCAGTCGATCTTTCCAGCCAAATCGACGGCCTAGTCTTTGACTTTGGCGTTGAGGTAGGTGGCATCGTAACCATCGACTACAAGCTCTCCCAGTCCACCAACGCCACTCTCGGCCTCGCTTTTACAGAGGCGAAGAACTACATTGGTCGCAAGTCAGACAACTCAAACGGTGGGACCGGACAAGACGGCGCTCTCGCGTACAACATCACCTCCGACGCAGCGGGAACCTACGTTATGCCCGACCCGAGGCTACGCGGCGGCTTCCGGTACCTGACGTTGTTCCTCACGCCTTCCGACTCATCGTCCACCGTCTCATTGGAGATCCGCAATATCAGTTTGGAGATCAGCTTCCAGCCGACATGGTCCGATCTCAGGGCCTATCAGGGCTACTTCCACTCCAGCGACGAACTCCTAAACAAGATTTGGTATAGCGGGGCGTATACTATCCAGGCGAACTCCGTGCCGGGCAAGACTGGTCGCGTTTCGGGATCGAACGGACGGACGAGCTGGCAGAATGACGCGTACATTGGACCTGGGGATACCGTTCTTCTGGATGGAGCGAAACGTGATCGCTGGGTCTGGATTGGGGATATGGGGACTGCGGTACCTTCTGCGTTTGTGAGCACCGGGGACATGGAGAGCACCAAAAATGCGCTCTTGGCGATCTACAATTACCAGGTGAGTCTGCCCCAAAGATCATGGGATTGGAATCTGCTGAACGACTGATTCAATAGTCTGCCGATGGTACTTTGCCTAAGGCTGGCCCACCTTATCTCTCAAAGGATAGCGACAGTAAGTTGAGACACAGTGAGGATGGTGTGTAGCCAAGCTGACGTTGCTAACATAGCCTATCATCTGTGGACGCTGGTCGGCACTTTCAACTACTTCTTGTACACCGGCGACACGGATTTCATGACTTCTATCTGGCCCAAGTACCTCAAGGCGATCAACCTCAGCAGAAGTAAAGTCACATCCAAGGGAATCATGAACGTGACCGGCACTGCGGACTGGGGTCGATGGACATACTCCACTGAGCGCAGTTCAGCGAGCATGCTGTAGGTGAATGTTCTTGCCGGCCAAGGGATAGAGGTACTAAAACAAGGACCAGATTGTATCGAGCCCTGCGCACCGGCGCCGACATCGCCTCCTGGTCTTCCACTCTCACGAACGCGAGCAGCTACCAGAGAGAGTGGACGAGTGCCGCGAGCAAGCTGCAAACGTCCATCATGACTGAACTATGGGATGACAGCAAGGGGGCGTTCAAAGAAAGTCCCAACGACACATCGCTGTACCCTCAAGACGCGAACAGTATGGCAGTTGCCTTTGGCGTCATCTCCGCAGACAGCGCCGAAGCGCAAAGGGTGTCCGACTACCTCGAATCAAACTGGACCCCGATCGGTCCTCACTGCCCCGAACTCAAGAACAACGTATCGCCATTCATCTCCAGCATCGAGATCGCCTCACACTTCCGGACGGGACGCGCCGACCGGGCCTTGCAGCTTATCCGAGACGCGTGGGGCTGGTACCTGAACAACCCCAACGGCACGCAGTCTACCGTCGTGGAGGGGTATCTCATCGATGGAACCTGGGGCTATAGAGGAGATCGGGGGTACCGCAACGATCCGTCTTATGTTTCGCATGCGCATGGGTGGAGCAGCGGCCCGACTTCGACTATGACGGAGTATCTTGTCGGACTGAGGGTCACCAAGCCCGGCGGAAGCGAGTGGCAGCTCAAGCCTGTGTTGAGCGAGCTCTGGGAGGCCGAGGCTGGATTCACGACGAGTTTGGGCAAGTTTTCTGCAAAGTTTACAGTTGAAAATGCTGGAGATGCTGTCGTGGAATGGGATACGCCGGCGTCGACTCGGGGATATTTGGTGCTCCCAGGGCAACGGTCCGTCTGGGTTAATGGTGGAAAAGGTAATACAACAATTAACATTTAGCCTCATCCTTCCTTCCCTTCAGGGGTCTGTGGTGCGCTTGGATTAGCGTTTACCGAATTGCAATCTTGAGCTCTATAAAAACGGACAGTAGCTAGCTCCCAGAGGCTCGGTCTTGTTGCAAACAATCAACTCCGTGATTCCAGAGCTCCTTAATGATTTGCTTGGTCGGTGCAATCTGATTCCATAATGTCGTCTTCTGAAGGATTGCGATCCCTAAGGGCACCGGGACCGAGGTAGATAAAATTTATCATAAGGGTTTCTATTCGTCGCAACTGCCCTTGCTCATTGTCTCTTTCATGTGCGAATACGCAGGGGACGTCTACCTTCACTGATGGGCAGAACTGCGTTTTGTTCACTTGACGAGACAGAGATGCCCTCCAACGGATCGTGGGATCTTCCCGATCATGGCGGTAGTCTAACTTAGTACGTCCACTTCGGCCAAAGCACAAGGCTGCCGCATGGTTCGACCTGGGGGCCCAGATCCCCCAATCTGGCAATGCTGGTGAATATCTGAGTTCAGGATGCTCTCGAAGTGTTCTTATACTTTGCCGGGTCTTCGCCAACAGTTTCATTCGGGTAGACCTTTGAGAAAGGATGTGTAAACACATCAGGTTTGCTTGTGTAATGTAAGTATTCAGTGGAGTGCACACATCGCGTGTAAGAGAAGAAATTAAAGATGTTATGTACATTGCGTTACCGTAGGATTACGCTGTTTACAAGCTGTGCGTCACCTAATCCCACCTCTGACTCTTCCCACTCTCCACATCCGTCAAAAGAACAAATTCAGCCTCAGACCTCTTTGGTGTAAGCCGTCGATTCAGACCACTGGACCCAGTCGCCACCGCCGAGTGTGAGTTGCCGGTACCCCCCGAGCTCGACGACGCGCCAGACAGCTTGGACTTGACGGCCGACCAGGCGGCGTTCTGGGATAAGGCGCTGGAAAGGAACTTGTAGACGGCAGGTAG